AAGAATCCCATGTGTGTTTATTAGGACTGCTCCTTTGTTCTAGGAGAAGGGCCTGAGAAGGGTACTAAATATCTGAAGCAAAATATGACCTGTTTCTAATTAACTGATTCTTTATTTTCTGATCATTCAGTTGAGTAGAATTCACAATTTTGGCTCTACTTCTTTTGCCTTAGACGTGTGAAGTGCTAACCTCATCAATGAATGCAACTTATTTTATTAGTTAGTTTGTTAGTGACTACTAGAAATCAAGAAGGGAAAAGACAAGACTGGCCTGCGTAATCAGAGGTTTGAATTCAGCATTCTGAAAAATCCTCTTGCTTCTGCGCTGTGCAGCACCACGAACTCATGAAACACTAAAAAATCCAGTGTAGCACGCAACAGCTGTACTGCATAATTACTTGGCTGTATAGCAGTAGTTTTAAAATACTGGTATATCTGTTGCAGGCCACCATACATTATCATCTCATTTTCAATAAAAAGTCTGGGATGTTTCAGATGAGCTTCAATGGAATTAGAATCATGTGTGCTTTGAAATATTTATGCTTGCCTTGAGATGGAAGGATAATTCCTGCCTCCAACCCCCACACGCAAATAATAGATTTAATAACGCCAGATAGTCCAACTCCTCCATACCTACAGCAGGTAGAAATGAAGTTCTGATCTGGAGTACACATATTTTCATAGGTTGTAGAACTTATATTTTGTGTCATTTAGAGAGGTCAGTAATAAAATATAAATGTCATAGGCTGAAAGACGCCAAGAGAAATATGTTTTGGCAGCATGGAGCTGCTTAAGGGATACATAAATAATAAGTCAATAAGTAAATAAATAATAGACAAAGACCTATTTTATCTTCCATTTGAAGATCTCAAAGAATTTACAGTCACTGAGTGAGACTTGTAATATCCCATCAGAAGAACAGAAATAGTAACAGCCCCTTCTTATACACAGGAAAACTTGCATCACTCTAGGCATGGTTTTCAGAAGCAATGACTTAATAATTGTTATTAAGTTTTTCTGAAAATCATGACTGAAGGGGTTTGTCCATGGTCACTTGCCCCTTTTAGAGGCAAACAGGGAAAACAGCGACCTGCTCCACTACCTCACATCCTATAACTGATTAAAAATGTTTGTGAGGATCCATATATTTGGAAACACGTTGTGTTCTGCGCTCAGAACTTGTTTGAAAGGCCATTTTTGCATAGCCTTGAGTTGGCGACCACAACACAGCTATCGGAGTAATGGTCTGTATCTGGGCCAGCAGTTTTTAGACTTTATCATTTAATTCCCTCTCTCTAGTACAAGGCAGGCACACTTGTTTGTCAGTTTAATAGCAGTAGATTCTTCCTCTGATCAAAATCCCTTTCTTTTGCCACTTAAGAAAGTTGGTATTTTCCAGTCGGAGATTGCAAAGCCAAACCTTTTGGAGATCTTTATTCCACTCTTTACTCCTTATGCTAATCCATCTCTTCTGAGAAAATTAACCCTACATGTCAGTATATGGCACAGTCTGAGGACTGATGCATATTCAGTCTTGTTTCCTTCCTCCAGTCTTTCCCGTGACCAGCAGAAAGCCCGTTGAGGCTGTGCTGAGGAGCTGGCCAAGACTCTGACGAGGAACCACTTTCTCCTTCTTGCAGCATTTACCTTCCTGAATTATTGTTGATCATTTCTGCATTTGTATTTCTTCTCTCTGTCTTTGGGAAGATCACTGACAAATGTTTTCCACTTTATTTTCTACTCTGACATGCTGAGGAGGTCAAAACAACAGAGAAAGACCCAATACTTACATGCCTATGAGTATTTCTAATAACCATAACACGTCTTTCATATAGCAAATCAAATCATTAAATGAAGAGCCATACCTTGGAAAAGTTAAATACAGTGTGGTCTTAGGCCTCGTTTTGAATTTCCCTATTTTGCCTGGGTACAATTTTTTGTTCCTTCTTGTTTGATTGAAAGAGCATTTCTATCTTCTTTTCACCCAGTAGAAGAAAGGCAATAAATTTGTTCCCAGATGTGTACAAAGGACAGTGCAGTTGCATAACAATTTCAAATAGTATTATCAGAGCCAGTGCTAAAATGAAACTTTTTTTTTATAAATGTTTAAAAAATCCCAATCTATTTTTTACTTAATTAGCTGTTTGCCACATAAATTTTCATTTCTCACTTGTATCTTTGTACTTTGTCTTCCTTTTGGCATACAAGGAAAGGACAAACTATAAAAGGAGGTATGAAGAAAGAGAGGAAGAATATGTTTTATATCCCAAAAAAGACAGAAACTTTGTATGCTACTGAAAATTTTGTTGCCGTCAACAAAATCCTTACCACCAACTTTAGTTGAACCAATATTTGCAGCAAAATATTTTGACAAGCTCTAAAAAGACTGTTCCTTCCGGAAGAAGGTGATGATACATTCATACCTGTAAGGTGGCTATGACCTAAGTGTCATTAAAGCAGTTACACCTCAGGGGCTGGTGTAAGTGAGATCAGAGGCTGACACTTTGGGTGGAATTCACCTAACTGAAGGTGCGTGTGTAGACTGGAGGTATCTACCCTGGAGCTAGTACCAGTGGGCTCCCTTCACATCCACTGGTGAGCCACCCAGTGTGGTCCGTGAAGTCTGGTCAAAGGCAGTGGTCTGGTTTTGGATGAGATGAACGGCTCTTTAGACACCATTAGTTCTGTTTTGTCCTCCGTTGATTCGAAGATAATTAGCTCCGTGGTAGACACCCAGATTTACTCAGGTGAATCCCACATTATCTCTACTTCTAAAAGCACACTTCAAAGTTACAGCCTCTCCCAGGAGTTTGGGGACAGGAAAATGGCCTTCATTTCTTCCTTTGAAGATTTCGGTTCTTTATCTGAAGAGTTTTCAAACACGCTATGATTTAAGATGCAAACTCAGGACAAAACTATTTGCCTTAAAAGTGAGTAAGAAATAATTAACTAGGTTTGTAAAAAACAAGAGATAAGCCCAGATGTGCAGACAGGTCGAACAGGCTGGGCACACAGGTGTTTGCCTTGGCCATGGAATAGCTGTCAACATTTCCATAACAAGGAGTGTGGGATATGCTGCTTCTTGTTTCCTTTTCCCAAATGCGGCATTGCAGACCTAGCACAGCTGTGGGAAGACACCGTTTTCCAGTTCAGCCCACATGCCACAATGTCTGGCTGTTAGAACATAGGTATAGCCCATGCTTTCAGAAGAGAGTCGCTGGATATACATCTGCTTTGATCAGAGACAGTTGAAGGCTGCATGCAACTTTTGAGTTCCTCATCTCCATGCTTCCTTTCAGTGGTGCTTTCCTGTTTACACCACACATTTAGTATGCGTTTCTCTTTCTGTTGTGAATATTTTAAACAGCATGAAGGGGAGCAGACTGGGAAGACTCGTGGGGTTAACAAGGATAAGGGATCTTTTCATGGCAAGGATGAGAGCTCCATATCCATCCCATATCAGCACCCCAGGCATGAGTGCAGCTCTTTTTGGTGGTGGTGTCAAAGCAATCATTCCTATCCAGTCGCGGTGAAAGAAGTGCACAGAAGTGCTGCCCAGCCAACCCTTAACGAATGTTTATAGGTTTGGGAAATGCAGTAGGTTTCCTTGCTGCTGTCTCTGAGCACATGTTTTACCCACATCTTCAGGCTCTGAGTTTGCTGATGGTTTAGTAATGCTTAAGAAAAAAATTACTAAGAAAGTGTCGTATTATTAAACTGGCAATGAATGAGACTTAGAAGCAGATTTTAGTTTTTATTTAACTGAGGGTTTTTCATAACATTCATCATGAAATGAGTGTTTGCTCATTTGTATTTGATTTTAGTTAACTTTCCTACATCTCTCCAATTTTTCAAAAAGTGCCAAAGGCTTTTTTCCCCCTCTTGTATATTTAACTTACTTCAAAGCCAACACATGAGTTTCAGTAGGATATTACCTCCCTTGCATAGCCTTTATCTAATCGGTTATGTGTGGTGTACAAGTGCAGTACGTGCACATGGACACCCTTGAAAGATCACTGGGATAGCATGCCAAGGGAGCAACAGGGATGGAATGATGACTGTTTGGTGAGAAATAAACTATGATGTACAGATGAGCTTGCGTGCAACCAGATTAATTGGCCATTGTAAAGGAAGAGTGAATTCTCATTTTAGCTAACGAGGGTCCAACCCAATGTATATTGAAGGCCAAGGCACTGGGTGATGGTGTCACATAACGTAGGAGAGCATAAGGCTCTTCAGCTGCACTTGCAGTTCTGCTGAAATCAGCCGAGGGTAGAATCTGTCATTGCCAATGGGCTTGTGTACATTACACCTTTACACCTTCACTGCAGTACATTTTCCAGCTGGCTTGTTGGCCCATAAATTCACCAAATTAAACTTCATCCCTGAATGCAAGCTGAGGGCTTGCTGAAGATTTGAGCCTAACATTATTCAGAAGCAATGTAAATGTAATTTTCAAAACGATCTTGCCACTTTGTGGATGTTCATTAGATGAAAACACGTTGCTTAAAATAAATGTTCCTAAAGTGAGGTGGAAAAAAAACCCCAACAACAGGAAGCGTTAGACCATCTTTAAATTATCAGCCATTTATAGTACAATATAAAATGGATTCATATGTGCAAATCCAAGTTGTACGAAATGTCAATTAAATCAACCCTAATCTCCCAAATACATTTTTTTATTGCCTGATTGATGAGGACTGCTCTTAAGGTGATGAATAGTTTTCACTTTCACGAAGGCCTGCTGATTCCTTTATATGTGTCCACTAAAAACACAGAAAATCCTTCAAAATGTCTGGCTCCGTTTGCTTTCAGGATCTAGATGCAGTGAGCGTAGGTCACAATGTGGTCTAACATATTAATTGTGACGATCAGATGTATAAATACTGTACATTTAAAAAAAAAAAAAAAAAAAAAAAGACTAAAACTACAGTAGATTTAAACTGTTTTATTTTCCGAAGACAAAACTCTATATAACTTCTTTGTTTTCTTTCCTATAGCAAGTCCACATGCAACACCATCGACTCTTCATTTTCCAACATCACCCATTATCCAACAGCCTGGGCCATACTTCTCACACCCAGCAATCCGCTATCATCCTCAGGAGACTCTGAAAGAGTTTGTCCAACTTGTCTGCCCCGACGCTGGTCAGCAGGCTGGACAGGTGGGGTTCCTAAATGTAAGGAAGCCGTTTTTATTTCTTCAGAAGTGTTTGTCCTATGTAAAAATTAACCACGGGATTACGGGATTATTTTAACAGCATGTTGCATACAGGAACACACCTTGGACAGTCGTTGGAAGAAAAAAAAAAAAAAAAAAGATGCTGCGACTGCAAAAATATTTTAAAAAAACAACAAAAAAACTCCCCAAAAAAACACTCGACCACATTGTGGTGAAATTAACTCAAACTGTCAGAGAAGCCAGTGATACAGTGACCTTTTGGGTCCCTCCACAAATGACTTTGCTGCATGCATTGTAACCCTAGTGGAACGAGGGTTAACAAAATATGAAGGCAGAATAATTTTTATTAATTATTTTTGAAGTTCAGGGGAGAGTGGGGGGGGAAGGAGCAGGAAAAGGGAGGGTGAGAAACAGATGTTTCGGATCAGCTAAGTTCATTAAAAAAAAAAAATACTGCCTTATAGCACTTTAGATCAAGTTGACCAGTACTTGAACTCAAGATGTTAAAAGTACAGTTTATTATGGTTTGTTATTTCTGTAAGCAGTTATCTTTTCCCCTTATCTCTATGAAAAATTAAGCAGAGTTCCAAAGCTTCAAATAACCATTTTCATTTTTTTTTAATCAAATAAAGTGAATCATCTTGCTATTATTGAAATAGCATTCCGGTCAAATACAGAATTTATAAATTTTATGTAAATCAAATCTAAAATAATGCTCTGAATATTTCATGAAATGTAATGCATGTAACTTTTTCCAGCCAATGAAGTAATAACTGGCAAAATTACTGTTTCTCTCCTGACATGCATACGATTGAAAGTGTTAATGAGAATTAGTTTAATTATTAGCATCTAATTTATTACACTTATTTAATAAGCTATATTGTTCTCGGTGCTTTCCTTTCCCTAGCAGAAAAACTGACTCTACTTATTCCAGCCAGTACTGGCTTTGAATAATGTCTGCAATATGTTAGCAGATACATTTATGTCTGGACAACAAATCAATATAGTGCTTTTCTTTTTCCTTGAGTATTCATTTGCTTAATTTATCCCAAACCATTCAGCATTATGAACTGTTAGCACACTCACAATGAACATACAGCAGGGGTCTTCTTGGCAGGAAAGGGACCTAATTGTGAGACAAGATAGTGTTTGAGAGATGTCACTAATATATTAGTTTATTAAAGGTACTGAATGTTGGAAAAATAAATATCCCTGAAGGATTGCTTCTTGCTGCAAACACTAGTGACTGCAGTCTTTGAAGTCAGTGGGAGTGCTGTTAAGTTAAATGCAGATGAATTTGAGTCTTATTTATGCCCTGGACCATTTTTGCTCTAGCACAAGCGTGATTTGCACCTACACAACTTTAAGACCTTTTGTCAGTGCCAAAGCAGGTGAAATGAAAGTAAGGTCCCGAGCATTTGCCAGTATGAGTATTTTGTCCCCAGTAATTCAGGCTAATGGAAACCTTAACAGGAATTAAAATATTATTTTCTTTAGCAGTACTTAGAATATGGATCTGTGTTTAAAGCTGAGCTTTTATCATCAATGGAAAAGCCAATGCTCAGTGCCAGAAGAACTGCAGTGAGATCAATTTGCAGAGTGCTGTCGAAAGTGATCTCATCATTTTTGTCACTAAAATGGAACACCTGATTCACAGGCTGTCCTACTTTCTCTTTATAATGGTATTTGGCATCTGTCTGTATGGTTTTCAAGTGTCCGGGCTGTATTACATTTAAAATGTAAACTTAACAAGTTGAGGGGAAGGGTGGCCTTTTTTTGTTTTTTTTTTTTAAGCCTGCTTCTCATTTTTGGGATGTTTGAAAACGCTTTTGCTTACGGACAGGTTTTTCTGCTGATTAATTGGAAGACCACACTTGTATAGCTGGGCACGTTCTGCCTGTGACCGACCACATCCCAGACTAAATGGAGTTGTGTTTTTTTTCCTAATGTGTAAAATGAAGCAGTTCTAAGTTCAGTCATTTCCCCGTGTGATCCTAATGGCAACTAAACTGAGCGCTACACTACTGCTAACTCAAAAAGGATGTGGGAGAGCAGTTACTTTAATATATACTCATTCATTTTCCTGTAATAAGATATCAGCATGACTTTTAAGACCACCAAAAATGCTTGTTTTTTCTCCTAATGAGCAGTATCTTTAAGAAATTTACACTCAAGTCCTAGGCACTGATATATCCTAAGGGTATAACAGAGACACAAAACTGGGGGATTTAAGGGGTCAAAAATACTGCTTCAACTCTCCCTGAGCATGACTTAGTGGCTGCAGGAAATGTAAAGAGTAGTAGAATTTAAGCCAGGGCAGTTCAGACCAGCTGCTAATAGGACAGATGCTTAAAAGCGAGAATTTCCTTAGTTTCACAGGGCTTGAGACAAAGTTCCTTGAAGTCAATGGAGAATTTGACACAGCACTTTCTTTGCCACCTCTCAAGTAGTTATAAATGTATTGCACATAGCTTTCGACTAGATTGTTATTACCAGAGGTTCCTAATAGCTGATTTTTAGTGTAATTTTTGTCTGTTTGCTTGTTTTTCGGCAGCCCAATGGTAGCAGCCAAGGCAAGGTGCACAATCCATTCCTTCCTACCCCAATGTTGCCACCACCACCTCCGCCACCAATGGCTAGGCCTGTGCCTCTGCCAGTGCCAGACACAAAACCTCCAACCACATCAACAGAAGGAGGGGCCACCTCTCCCACTTCTCCAAGTAAGTATAGACGCAGCGGGAACCAAGGGCTAAGAGCCGTGCGCAACGTGCTGCCATCACCGTGTGTCGGCTACTTGGAGATGAGGACTGGAGTAGCTCTCGGGAAGCAGGAGAGCTCTCTGCTCTGTATATGATGGACAAAATTCCGAGCTGGTTTTATATTAATAAGAAAAGAGTTAGCTGAAGGTTACAGTTTTATTTCTGACTTTGTTGGCATTTCACGTACCCGTGTATGAGAGAAATCAAGGTCAGTAGCTAAGCTGTGACACAGACCCAGGACTTTTGGGATCTCGTTTACTGTCATGAGGAGGAAGTTTGGTATCTTAAGTCAGGCCTTAGAAGATAGATACTACATGGAAGTCAGACTGCTCATCGAAAACATTGCTGCTTATACATACTGGGCTAAACTAACAACTCTTGCGAGTTCACTTCATTTATAGTTCTTTTGGGAATAAGTCTTCCTAGATTAACCCAGACGTCTTTCCCTTATGACTTGGTTCCCGAGCCTTGTATTTTGGGCAAGAAGCTGTGGTATTTCTTAGGCCCAGGGAGAAAGCTTTAATCCTCTCTCCACCACCCACACCGCTCCCATATGTATTTTGTGTAGCCACAAGTCAAATATACAAATTCCTGGATACACACTTGGGGATACCACTTTGGACTCACTCTGCTGGGAAATAAATGCGATTCAGCTGGGTTTGATGCTTTAAAAAAGTCTGGATGTTCAGGGAGTTAATTGTGAAATGATTTAATGAAGCTATGCTCAAACTGACATTTAAAAACAAAAGGGAAGCTTTCAGTGCTTTAATGGCAACTGTAGGGGACTTGTTCCACAGTGAAGGGAGTCCAAATAACATCCACAAACAAAAATCAATCTAATCGAAAGAGCAAATCCCTTTGTGTGCTTTTCAAGCTTATTATTTAAATGCTATATGCAGCCTCTGCTTGATGTGCAAAGAGGTATTCGCTATTCAGACCATGTGAAGCCTACGTTTTTAAAGCTTTATATACTGTTGAGGAGATTTGCACAGGTTCCAGGGGGCATTTTTAAAATCTGGTAGATCTCGGAGTTTTGCATTGCCTTCTGCTACGCGATAGTGCACAACTGCAAGCTCAGCACGATGCTCTGGCTCGCTTCGAAATTAAAATGGGTTTTAGTATGAGACAGTCTGGTAAGATTGTGAACATGATCTTCTAGAATCAGGACTTCTAGAATTGATCAGCAGATTTTTGTTGAGCTAAGAAGTTGATTCATTCCCTCCGCTCCTCTTTCTGACCTTAGACCAACACTTGTGCTATCAGGATGTTTTGATGCTTTCTGACGGGAGATACTGTCTTTTAAGTCCTATCAATAAGATTCAGCGGTGGAATCTAAAAGGTTAATGGTTAGTCATAGTTATCACCGAATATAGTCACCAATGCCTTACTATTTCCTTGTCTTCAGAACTGGGAAAAATGAAACTAGGTCAATGTATGTTTGTCATTACGGTTGTGACTCAGTTTACTGGCAGTGCGTGGTGTCGAAAAGAAAAAAATTCCCAACATCATTTTAGCAGTAATCTTAATAATTTTTGTGATACCGTGACCATGTAAACAAGCTAGAATGCGTGTCTGGCCTGATTCTCAGCTGGCATAAAAACTGGCATTGGTCTGCTGAACTTCGCAGAACACCACTCATCGGCATGGGCTCGGGCCGGTCACTGTGGCTCAGTGTTCAGCAGACAGCTGCCACCTTAATTGGGAACCGAGGGTTTCTCAAGAGCAGCCAGTTAATGGTATTTAAACAAAAGATTAGGAGAATAATTACTGTTTGTTAATTAGCTACGCTGATGTCTAAACATATAGTTCTGTACATATTCAGGCATGCATCTTCCTTTTGGTAAGGGTTTTGAATAACAGCGACTTGAGTTGTAAAGAAGCATATAATTTAATTTAGGGACAAATTTTACAGAAAAGTAGATTATAGGAAACATTTTCTAAGACATACCAAAGCCAGTGGAAGTGGCTGGCCACATAACGAGAAAAATAAAGCGAAGTTCCTAGGCTGGCGGTGAGAGTTTACCAGAAGGGCCCACTGGACTCCATTTAGTGTGTCAATCAGTACCAACCTCCCATTTTCGTCGGTGTTTATTTTTTCCTTAACTAAATATTAGCCTTCAAATAGCAAGTGCAGATTCACCAGCGTTTCATAAAAGCCTCACAAAAAGGGGCTTTCCATGGTTACGAACTGCTCGAGTGCAGCGGTTCTGGGAGTGTCGCCGGGCTATGGCTGGCTGCCCCGCGGAGCTTCAGGATATTAGAAAGTCACTTACGCAACAAAGGCAGGAGTGATGTTAGGTTTTGGCCAGACTCTCTCCTTTGCTGTGTGGAGGAGAATGAAGTCCCCCCCCCCAAAAGGAAATGGAGTGAAAGGGGCTGGCATTTGCTCCGTTCTCCTTCCCTTTTTTGGTCTAGCAGAAAGCCCTCTGCAGAAACAAATCGCAGTTACGGCCCTACCAAAAATTGGACTATGGCCCTCTGGAGGGGTGCGGGAGCCAGGAGCAGCTGTTCAATACAGCACGGCCTCCTGGGAACGAGAGCTAAAAATCACAACAAGGTGGTTAATGATTCTCAGAGCAATAGTGAAACTCTCCAGCTGTGACATTAACCAAAACATGAACATTAGTGCTGTCCAAGGAAGGAAGAGCCCCTGGAGATGCACACCAGGGATTTGCCACTACTGGGTGGCCAGGCATGCTTTGGGAGTTGAAAGTATCAGCTGCGAGTCTATCCCTTTGGAAAGCCAGCATTATTCTCAGTGAGAGGACACAATGGAGATGGGATTCATGAGGTTTGGGAGGGTTCCTCCGTAAAAAGCCTTTTCAATAGAACACGTCCTTGATATCAAAAGCAGTCCCAAAATTATTTTACCTCAGATCTCTTCTCGATTTTGTTTGGTTGGTAACCCATAACAAACACAGCACAGTATTTTCTTGAACTTGACAGTTTCTGGGTTTAATATCTCATTGTCCAAAGAAAACACCACCTCCACTACATGCTAGTTGGACTTTATCGTAACTGGATCCCAGTGCTAGAATCCGTGGCCCTCGTTCCAATGCAGAGTCTAAGATACTGCCATACTGTACCCCATGACTTTTAAGGAGCATTTTTAAACTGAATGTTATTTTCTAAGGTTCACAACTCTACACGGGAAGAAACTTCACTATTTTCCCTGTCGAGCAAGATCATTATTGGTAAATGTCCCTTTGCACAAAGGAGTTTTCCTGTTAAACAGCATTTGTGTCAGGATGAGAAGAATGATCTTGTGGCTATAGTACTGGATTCATAATCAGATTGGATTTCTCTCCCTTTCCCTGCTCTGCATTGACTGAGCACCCTCTGGGCAAGCCGTTTTAACTTTCTGTTCGCTCCTTTCCCCATCCATAAAAAAGAGGGTGATGACTGTATCATTTAATTTGTTAGAATTTGCATTTCCCTCTCAGACACTCAGCTGCAGAACATATTGCAGTAGGAATTGCTGTGTTGCACTGCATTTCTCTAGTTAGTTCTCTTGCTCCAACTCCACAATGGCCAAACTGACTCCTAGTCCTTTGTGAAACGGCACAGCTCTTCCTACCAAGCACAAGTACCTGTCGTTTTGGTCTCTAAAAGGGAGACCCAGTGATACATTAGGTCATCGCTCACCCTAATCATCTTTACCAAACAAAAGTTTTGTCTTTTTAATCCAGAACTCTCTGATAAACGACACACTGCTATACTTAATAGAAATTATTTCAGGAAAGTATATTTTAAATTAACATTCTCCTACTCCAGGCAACTTTAAAATACATGACATTCCCAAAACTGTTTGTTTGTCTTGTCTTTCATACAATTTCTTGCCATTTTGGCTAAATATCAAAGCTGTCTGTGTGAGCAAATGTTCTTTCTCTGCCAGCTCCTGTTTTGCTTGTTCCTGAAGTGAAGCATCATTCCTGAAGTGAAGCAAATTTGTGGCATCACATTCATTTCCTTGGCTATGGGCTATGATGTTGCAAACAATCCTTCGTGAATTCCAGTAGCAGAAAGACTAGGCTGGGCAGGAAGATGTTTCTATTCAAGCCCAACTAGCTATCAGCTAGTGTCAACTAGTGTAGATCTATGCAATTCCCATGGAGCAAAGCAGATAAAGATCAGGAGAAGATCTGCTTAAGTGACTTGGCTTCTGTTCCTTTCCACGCTTTGGCTTTTCCCTTTCCTAAAAAGCAGTCTGAAGACCCCACCATAGGCTTAGTCTACCTACATATACGATAACATAATATGACCCAGCTTTAACCAGTGAGAGCAGTTTGCCCCATCCTAATCTCAGGACAGAGTATAGGGATCAGAAGTGGTAGGACTTTCAGGAATCCCCCCTCCGTATCAAATGGGGGTATCGTGTGAAGACAGGAAGATACGGCTAGAAGCCATGTTGGTGGTGGTCTAAGCAACACTCGGTACTGCTCCCTTTGCCGAACCGCATTTCACTGTAACAGGAGTCACTGCTAATGTGTATTCCATGTCAACTTAATATTCTGAGCCAAAATGGCCCCTTTCAATCCGCAAACATCTCGTGACATTTTACAGTGAAGTGGGACTAGCATCTTGGGAGAGCCCAGTGTAAAGCCTGCTGTGCATATATGTCGTTTTGGTACTCCTCACTTCTTGGCTCTAGTAATGTAGTTGTATGACCTTAAGGAAATATCAAGCTGACATCTGAGTATTTTCAGAAAGAAAGTTAAACATAGTTTGGAGCATTATGGAAGAAAGGTATACATAGTAATTCACCCAGCAAGGTTTGAGGGGACTTTTGTGCATATTCTAAAGCAGTTTTCAAATGCTTTAGAATTTTTGTTTGAGCAGAGAAGCCACTTAAGACGGTGTTCTGACGGTTTCCCTTTGATTTTCTACCAAATATCACAGCAAAAGTATCTGCCAACGGGGAACTGTAAACAAAATCTTGAGTTCCTTCCCTTCTGGGTGGAACTTACCTGCTCCAAGGGATTAAATGGCCTCTCCACTCATTCTGCTTCCTTAAAAGTAGACCAGAAAAACCAAAGAACGGATGTTTGATTTTTGAGCTTTAAGTTAATTTTCCCCACTGCAGAAGGAAGTTTTAGTCTCGCCCAACACAGGGTCCACCAGTCAGTTAAGAAAAAAACACCTCACTGTAAAACAGGACAGAAGAATCTTAATACATGGCACTAGCAACAGAGATATATCCCTTGCAAATTTGTGGCTTCTTTGAATTACTAAGCAAATTAAGATGGTAAAAAGGCAAAGAGAACATCTCACCAAATCTACGCAGTTCATTTCTTCCTTGATTTGCAGATATGAATAACAACCAATGTACCTGTTCATACTCTAATATGCAAGCTGCTCTGCAATTTGCCAAATCATCTCAGAAAGATGGATTAGTGCACTTAAAAATTCCTTTAAAACTTTGTGAAGGAAAGGTGTTCCTTGCATGATTTTTGCAAGCGCTAGAGAAGTGTTAGCTTTTTGGAGAGAAAAGCTCACCTCACTGGAAACAACTGGGAAGAATTTATTCTACTTAGAAGTCAGGAGTGCCTTATCTCCCTCCGATCAGTAAGAAACAAAGATACGCAGTTCCTGGGGTGATTTCAGGGGAATGCTCTTTGAGAACATGAAGCTGTCTCATAAAATTGTGAGAATTAGGAGGCATCATGAGACATTTGTGAGACTTGGGTAGAGAAGGAAGGGAAGGATGCGGTTCTGCATGCTTGTAGACTTGGGAACTTCTCACCAAAGGGCTTTGTGGGGTGCAGAACATTTTGCCTGGGTTCTGGGGCAGATTGGGCATTCATCAATGAGAAATCTCATGTGGGCCATTAAATACAGGGAGTCCCTGAGCTGAAATAAATCAGGGTGGGAAAGAATATGAGAAAGTAAATACGTGACCTGTTTTGACTCTTCCCTGTCCATCTGCTTATGGCCTCTGGAAGAGAGAGGACAGTGGATAAGGTGGAGCATTGGTCTGATTCAGTACAGTCTTTAACCAAAGGCTCCTCCAATGCAACGCCTCTTCACCGAACATGGTGCCTTCAGAAAGGCAACAGGCTTTCATCTATACAGACAACTCAGTGTCTTCTCCGACTCTTAACTCCCTTTATTTTTCTGCAACGTTGAGGCTTGAACATTATATTTAGCCTGACTGGAATGTGGCAAATAACTTTCCTTTTAACATTGTTTTTTGTCTCTTCATTGGGTAGATTGTCTGGGGATTTTACTCGGCAGAATGCATTCCCATAAATATATTTAAAATAGACAGAATCACTGTTTGTATTAAGGCGTCTGTTTAGGTTATTCAAATTTACATCTGAACATGCAAAAGAACTGAACAAGGGAGAAGATTGCAAGGGGGATTTTCAAATGAGAGGAAGCCTGAAAACGCATTGAAAGCTTTTGGATGTGGAAGTACGTGGCATTGTGGACAGTTGCAGTGGAGAATATAATGCAACAATAAAATCATTAAAGTACTTCAAGTTTGGAAGTAATCTGGGTTCTTGGCTTGCATTGCATTTAATAGCTTTACATTTATGGGAGCCATTCCAGTTCTTAAAGGCAGCTTCAGCCTTCAGACTGATTGCACTTACCACCCCAGTGAAACTGCAACCCATTAATTTTTTACCGAAAGGATCTTCCTAGTTTGTCAAACACATCAAGTGAACATTTTAGAGAGTGCAGACCACAGCAGTATGAAAACCAAAACTTGGTATGGAGAGAGAATGCTGGATTAGCATGAAATAAGGATCTGATTCAGTTAATAAGCACTTCAGTAAATTCCCCACTATACAAAACTGCATTAAAACCAGAGATACCACATATCCGAGTGAAAACAGTCAGGCAATGCCAAGAGTAGAGAGGTCTCATGTGCTGTCCCAGCATGGAAGGGCCTGCAGCGGCTCTCCTCTGGGATGGAGGAGGTGGCCCCAGCACCCTCGTCCCCGCGTGCACGTCGCGGCTGTCCCACCAGCCCAGTCCCCTACGTCTTTATTCCACCATCATTAAGACCAAACCTTTCCAGTGTCTAAAACCAAACTCTCGCTCTCTAAAACGTTTGCACATTTCTATGTTAAACATCTGCTTAGGTGGCTCTGAGACAGTGTGTTTTGGTGTTGTTCGTGTGCAATCTAGTGCCGCTTCCTCAACGCATGTGTCCCTTCCCTTCACAGCCTACTCGACACCCAGCACCTCCCCCGCAAACCGGTTCGTCAGTGTTGGACCACGGGATCCAAGCTTTGTAAATATCCCTCAACAGACTCAGGTGGGCCGCTTTCGACTTCTCTGTATGCCTGCAGCCTCTTCTTCCTCAGTGTCCTCTAACGTGTCCCCGCGGAGCCAGCCGCATTGCCGCTGTCACTTCACCCACGTGGTCTCAGTAACTACAGCGAAATGTCACTTGCACTTTGTTTGTCTGTTGTGTTTTGGTTTTTGTTTTTTGGGTTTTTTTTGAGCTTATGTAGTAATAACGCCGCTTTCGTAACTGGAAAGATCTCTCTTGCTTTCTAAGGTATTGGCTTCTAGTGCACAGTTTTTTTCCTCTAGGACTGAGTTTTCAAAGACTTCTGCTCCAACCTGTTTCCTAGGCAGCTGGAGAGGGACTTTTTACAAGGTTGTGTAGTGACAGGACAAGGGGTAATGACTTTAAACTGAAAGAGGGGAGATTTAGGTTAGATCTAAGAAAGAAATTCTTCACTCTGAGGGTGGTGAGGCACTGGAACAAGTTGCCCAGAGAAGTTGTAGATGCCCCATCCTTGGAAGTGTTCTAGGCCAGGCTGGGTGAGACTTTGAGCAACCTGATCTAGTGGATCCTGCCCATGGCAGGAAGTTGGAACAAGATGATCTTTAAGGTCCCTTCCAACCCAAACCATTCCATGATTCTGTATGCAAAAGGAGCCCAGAAAGACTCATCAGGTAACAGTGCATCTTAGTTCCTCACCAGATACAACGGGAGACTGCTCCAAGGACTCCCATGTTAAAAAAAAACAGCCTCAAATTCATGGTTGGCCATTTGGTGGGCTTTGAGCGAGAAGGCGATTTTATAATTGCAAGCACATCTGTTTCCTTACACAAAAAGTCCAGTTGAGGCAGGCCTATAAAGCTGGGTTAACAGAATTCATAGTCCTGCTATGGTCAAATCAGAAGCTCAAGTAAACATTTGTGTTTCTTTAGGAGAAGGACAAGGTTTAAATGTGCTTTTTCCAAGCTGTATCAAATTCCCAGGGTCGATTAAGAAAATAGTTGTTGGCAGTTTTGTTAGCAGCTAATTTGAGCCAGATGTTGAAAAAATTAAGTCTGTGCTTAATATCACGTTATCATGGGGGAGAAGGTACAAAAAAGTGAGCACGACTAGTGCTTTAGGACAACTGCAGCTTGTAGTTTCCAGTGAGTGTTTGACTACGTTACAATTCTTTTAAAGGTCAACAGCAAAGAATTATTTGTAACTTTGTTTTGAGCTGTTTGCAATGACTGAAAAGTAATAATTCAAGTAACTAGCAAATTGGGGAGTCCTACTCTTAGCTTTTGTAAGTTCTTTCGCATCGTTTCTGTGCATCTGGATAATTAGTGTGCAGATTCAGGGCTGTCACTTGCCACAGTCCAGTATGTGCATGAAGACAGACTCCTCGTTGCGATGGCTTCAGCACCTACACTGTTGCTGGAGCACAAGTCTCTCATTAGTGAAGATTTTCGGTTTACAGGGCTGCAACCAGATGCCTGTGAACACAAAGTGTTTTCTTGCTATCTGTTCTTTGTGTACGATTTGTTAGGGGCTTTAGTTTATAGCTCTGTCGACAGCACAGGTTAAACTACATCGAATCTCAAACCTTCTCTGCATTAAACAGGGTCACAGAAAGTACACCAGCAGTGCGGAGCGGGGTTTTAACCCATCAGGTTCTGATTTTTTTTCCCATGCCTTAACAAAACGCAGCCTGCACCCCACTTTTCGGGCCTCTTCCTTTATTTGGTTCATGGACGTGACAAGTTTTCATGCGCCATTACATTTTAAATCCTATTTCTCCAGTCGTTTTGGAAACAACTGGAATACACAGAAATACACTGAAATCGGACAACAGGAATGTTAAGGTACACTGTTAAAGTCCTTAAGCGTTCGGTCTCCTCCTTCATAGCTCAGGAAACTTGAAACCCTTTGGAGAACGCTACTTACCTTTTCCAGAAGGCTTGAAAAACTGCTAGTTGGCAAATTGATTATGTAGTAAGATACAACAGTATTAAGTCTCCGAAATATTTTAAACTTATTTGTGTCCTGCAGCCTAGGTTTCCCAGATAAGTTTGTTGACTGTAAACTTTTATCCTCCTTATTTATGACTTAAATCATTTTAAAGTGCTCTAGCCTTACTTTAAGTGCTTCTGTGTAGTGCAGTATAGAGAATAACAATGCTGTACAGTGAAAAACAATACTCAGGCACAGCTTTCAATTAAAGTCAAACATGCTGCAGTGGGTAAGGAGACTGACTTCCAGTCTCTGACTCCAGCTGCATCTCCCTGCTTCTATACATCATTACACCACCACAACCCACTTGATACTAAATATATAATTTATCAGCAAAACTCACTACTTATTCATGAAACAACGCTGAAGTTGACTGTGTTTTAAATCAGAGAAGTGAGGTAAAAATGCTAACTGCAATGATTTAGGATTTACGTAGCGTCCCTCTAAACAAAGACATGCTTTTGTACTCCTTTTGCAGGGCATTAGGGTACAGGACCATCGCTTAGGATATTTTCGAAATGAAAATCTAAAAACACATAGGACTGTGTTATTAAAAGCAGCTGGGGTGGCTGCTTTCCATCAGGATTTTTATAGTACATTCAGAGCCAGCCTAAGATATGGGTCCTGAGGACCACTAACCGCCAGGCCACACAGCTCCCTTAGACAGGAGGAAGCAGCGAACGCTCAGAGCTTCTGAAAGTCAAGCTTAAGTGTAAGGGTTAAGCAACTCTTTACTGCTGGAACAACAAAATAAAAATGAAGACTGTATCTGAATGTCTGCCTTTTTAAAATTACAGTCCAGCTACGAGCTATAAGAAAACATTATGGTCAGCTTTTCGGTAGCTCTGATTTTCTCTTCCAATCAGAGGGTCATTTGACTACAGGCACTAGTTGTGCATCACCGTTATTCATCTTAAAGTGCTGCAGAAGTGAGTCCGTGCACGGGGATGTGACAGGGCCGTTCAGCAGAAGTCACATTTCCCATACATGGGCATTCAGAACACTGGAATAAAATCCCAGACAAATGTACAACAGCATGGCTGGGTTTGAGCAAGGATCGTTCTGTCCTGGATTGTTTTCAAACAACCAAAACCAGTACATGCCTTTCTTAATGAGCATTATAAAAATTAGCAGTAGACATTTCCATTAGCAGCATGTTCTAATTTATGTCAGATTTCTCCTAATACAATCCCTTAAAGGAATTTTATAGAATTTATGTAATATTTTATTTAGAAAAAGGCCGTCTTCCTGTGTCAACAAAGGTTGCAGCAGGACGACAGCTCCACGACAGAAGAGACCAGGAAATAAACTGCTTTAAGTCAGTAGTTCTGATTCAGTAACAAAAGCCCCAAAAGGGCTGTTGGCTTTGTCTGGTTTTAGCAGCCTCAAAACTTTTCAGTCGGTTTGTTTTTTCCGACACTGCCTCTGCTTACCCCATCCATCACTCTGCCGCTCCAGCGGCTCACCGCATAATTGTCCTATCTGGGGGGGTTATTTGAATCTGAATTTCTGTTTGAGCTATTAGAAGAAACACTTGACTTGGCATCCTCTGTATATGTTGTCAAAAAGGCACAGGTGTTGTAACCTTTGCTTGATAAATCATTTACTTTTGCTACTTGACTCGCAAGCAATACGGGGACATCAGCTTTTTAACTGCCTTTTCCATATGCAAATCAGAAATACAGTATGCCTGGGGTGCACAGTCTTTAGTTTCAAAAGCAAGCTGGTCTAGATGCCTCATGACTAAGTAATAGATACGTCTCTTGTATTGCCAAGGACTTGTAATAAGGAGAGTAGCAGAGGAATGGGAAAGTACCATCACATTAATTAGGGGCTAGCCTATCAGTAGCAACATCACTAATAAAGAATAAAGGGTTCTGAGCTTTGGGGTGGGTTTTTTTTTTCCTAACCAAGCGATAAAAGTAATTGTGAAACACAGGATATGCGCTCAGAGTACGTGCAGCTGGTAACGCCAAGTGAGCAACCTGCGCTTCGTGAGCGGAGTTTGCGTTGTCGCTCGCCGCTTTAAACGGTGTTTGTTGATCTCTAACGCCCTCGCTTTGCTCTACAGTACAAAATTCCTTGAGGGATCGTAAGTGTTCAGCGTGCTGCCGCTCCGCTTCACGCTAAACGCTGTTTACTAGTCCGAGTCCTGTTTGCCACCTACTTACCCTACATCTTCCTGGAAATTGTACTTCGGATGCTAAAAACAGCGCCTGAGCAGCACATGCCTGCTCCATCTAATCCCTCCTACCTGCCAGGACCCCGTGTGCCTTACCCCATAAGATTATGGGGATGCAGAGACCTGAAACTGCCTCCCACTGCAGGCACCTGAGCAGAGGATCTGCTGTGTGAGACACTAAATGGTTTTCTTCTCTGATGAAGAGAGAAAGTGTATCGTGCACCCTCTTGTCCAGCTAAGGAAAAATCCCTCTCTAATCTAAATATGCTTTATATCAGATCCATCCCAGTTAGCTGCTAAAACTTAGCTAAGCACAAAACCAAATATTTATTCCCTTACTTTTCTCTAGGAAAAGATAAAAGTATTTTCTAGAAGAACTTTCCCTGGTCGGAGTGTTCTTGTCTTAGAGACACCCAGCTACAAGAGCACTCTAGGTATGGCTCATCCTTTGTAACAGAAAACAGTTGAAACAAATAGCCCATAACTTACCTACCACACCGCAATAAAGGGTCAGAAAAACCCCAAAAGTCGAACAAGCTTATCCAGGCAGTGAAACGAGGAGTATGAAAACCAGCACGCTCAGAAGCACAGCCATGGTCTTGCTACCAGCCTTATAGCGACCGGGTACCAAAACGCATGCTGTGAAACACATCTATAAAAGAGTAATGCTGCCCTGTAGTAAGTTAAGGGGGGAAATTACTCAAGTTTAGCAAAAGGGATACTATGTTTATAGTACAAGGAAATTGCTAACTTCTTTAGATCTGCTCCTGTTCTCTGTCTTTCCCGAATTAGACAGTGATATCTTTCTACCTTCTTCCTTCAGGCTTTTATTTATCTCTTAAAAACCACC